GATAGAACAAAGCACATTGAAGTTGACAAGCACTTTATCAGAGAGAAAATCATCACAGGCGAAGTATGCACTCCATACATCAGCTCTGAAGACCAACTAGCAGACATCTTTACAAAAGGGCTAAACCATTCCAGACACCAAGATCTCTGTGACAAGTTGGGCATGATTGATATCTATGCCCCAACTTGAGGGGGAGTGTTGACAGATGTACTGTATGTACTGTACACAGGTTGAGTGCCCGCAGGGGTATTTTTGTAATTTTGTAGACATCTTGTGTTGTACGGCCAGTATAGTATAAATACAAATGCTTCACTCGCATGAAGCAGCTCTTTTGAGGCCTTAAGTCTGCAACCTCTTCTCTTCTCCTTCTTCTTCTTCTTCCTTCCTTTATTCTTCTTCTTCTTCTTCTGCTCAACAGACCCCACATCTTCTGATCAAAAAGTTTGGATTCCTCTTCCAAAAGGTACACTTACTTGTGCTTCTTTTCTAAAATCCCTCAGCTCCTACCCCGGTTCCCGAGTGTTCCCTATTAAAGAAGTTTGGGTGCGACCTATTCCTCCAAAATTGATGTATTCTGCTGGGAAGTTTATTATGGAAAAATCAATACTTTGGAAAATTTGCAGAGAAAGAGACCTCAGCTCCTACCCCAGTTCCCGAGTGTTCCCTATTAAAGAAGTTTGGGTGCGACCTATTCCTCCAAAAATTGTTGTATTCTGCTGGGAAGTTTATTATGGGAAAATCAATACTTTGGAAAACTTGCAGAAAAATAGACCTTCTCTTTGTCTTTCCCTGAACTGTAGTTCCTTGTGTAAGGCACAAAATGAGGATTGTTTCCATTTGTTGATCTCCTGCTCCTTTGCTACGGCCTTATGGAGTTGGAGCCTTAGTTTATTTTGAGGTTGGTGGTATCCACCATCTGATGTGAGTTTGTTATTTAACCCATCTATTGTTGTTTGGCATACAAGAAGAGGCAAGATCATGTGGAAATGTATCAGGGCAGCCACCTTATGGACTCTTTGGGAGGAAAGGAATGCACGAGTCTTTTTAGAGAAGGAGAGAAGCTTGGATGAAGTAGAGGACTATATCCTAACAAGAGCAATACTTTGGTTGAAAACCTTGGATATTTTTGCTGATTTCTCTTTTGATGGCCTGTGGAGGAATTAGTCAGTAATAGCTAATACTTCTACCAAGAAGAATAGAAGTTTGGTAGGATGGAATCCGCCTCCAGAAGGTGTCATCAAGTTAAATTTTGATGGGAGCAGCCAAGGTAACCCTAGGCCTTCAAGTATAGGGGGTGTTGTGAGGAATAAGGACAGCAACATCATCTCCTTATTCTCTAGACCGATGGGAGTGGGGGGCTCTACAAGGGCAGAAATACTAGCGGCTGTAAAAGGGATCCAGACTGCCAACCAACTTGGGGTGGAACATCTCCTAGTTGAAGGGGACTCACTGGTGGTAACAGGGTGGCATTTAAACCTGGATGTTACCATTTGGGGCTACAAAGACCTCATCAAAAAAGTAAAGTAGTTAACCAATAATATGAGAATTGAGGTTAAATGGGTAAGTAGGTCGGCTAATACTATGGCTGATTTTTTGGCCAAACAGGGGGTTTCCAGGGAAGGTCTTTTTTGTGCTACATTGTAACTTGTTCTAGTATATTGGAAAGTTGTACTTAACTAGCTTGGAGAGGTTGCATCTCGTGCCTCTCCTTGGGGACCTTGTACTAATTATTATTGCCGATTAATAAATTTCATTCAATTATCAAAAAAAAGGATTTCCTTGAGGACTCTACAATCATATTGGAGAGGCAATATCTTTGATATCTAAGATGAGCCCCTCATTGCATTGGATCTCCAATCTCCATATTAGCCAATAGCTGATAGCCATGTTAGAGAAGGATTTGAACCCCAGTTCCTTTTGGTCTCTTGAGATCATCTTGTATTAAGCTTATAATGAAGTTAACAGAGGTGCAGTGGGGGAAGGAAGTCCCAGAGGAGATTCTTAGTGAAGAGTGATGTTCAGTTGTTGTTTGAATTTGAGTTTGGATGGACTATTATGTTTCGTTGATGATTAATGGGTCTAGTTTCCTTTTGGATTTTGGTTGTTACTTTATAAGGAAGACTTAGGTACTAGTCAGTCTTGGTATTGTTCTTTAAGGGGGTGGTTTGTAAGGCTGTTATGTTGTTATTGCTTCCTGGTTATACCTTCTCACCTTATCTTGTATCGTTCTTTTATTTTAATGAATCTTCCTTTATTATCAAATAAATAAATAAACTTGTGATGAAGAACTTGAATACAGAATCACAGTACTATCATGGCGAACACTCTCTGGCTCTAAATTGGATAGCTTTTAGCTAGTCTGCCAAGTTCTAGAGAACGATGCTCCATGAATACTACAAAAAGAAGCAAATGCTAAATGGACGCCTTGCAACACATTACAGAGAACAGTATGAAGAAATTCGCCAATGTGTGGTATTTTGCTTTTTTTAGAAACAAAAACAACTGCCAGCTGATTTTTTTAGGAAAAAAAAAAACAAAATCGTACATATTGACAAACAGCCTATTAGTGAATATTGTGTATATCGATCCTCATCCAGTTGACTCTATTGCAATGCAGATACCATGTCCAGATAAAAGAAGGCAACCATCTAACCTTTTTGTCCTTTATCTCGCTAGATTGTATCCATGTCTTTATCTGGTCTCTGTATCTCTGAAGTTTCTTAATCTCCTTCTTCAAATCCGCCTCGAATTTCTCCTTCTGGTTCGCATTATCGGTGTCGTAAACCTAAAAAACAAAAAAAAAAAAAGAATAGGAATGGGACTATAAGAAAATAGCAGGTGTTCGAGATGTAAGTGTATAAGGTAGTCATCGAGACTAGATGAAGTATATAATAGTTGTCTATCGGAAAAGTTACCTTGTTCCAAATGCTATCGAAGACATCGACACCTTCTTGGACCTTCTTTAGAACTCGATCGATCTCACCCTGTAATTTTCGACTGGCTCCCATGGTAACGCTGAATAACAATAGAATGGGCGAAAAAAATCGATCAACCAACCAACAGAGATCGCTATGTTTCAAGTGTTTCAAAATGAACGGAGATTCAAACTTCAATCAAAATTTTTGCTAGGTTTTCGGTTCCAATGGTCCTGAAGTTGCAGAGAAGGTAGAGCCGAGAGCGCTGAGTGGTAAAGTTTTACCAAAGTGACCGTATTTGCACACGCAAGTGGGCCCTTCTTATGAGAATCAGAAATCAGAATGCATCTAAAAAGGATAAAATGGAAGAAAGAAAACCGTTAATAGCCGCTCTGATTGTAAAAGCTCTTCCGCTGTCATACGACTCATACCCTTCCGGCATCGGGGGAATTACGTAAATAGCCTCGGCGCGATTTGCAGGGGAGACCGGGAGACTACTACTCGCAGGGAGCGCCTCACACATTTATTGTTGTCTTCGTTAGGAGATATTCGGGCAAATTTATTAAACTACTCGGTTTGGCTAAACTAAGTATACCCTAGGTTATGTTTAGTTTTTTTTCTTGCCTTTCCTTATCTTTTCCTTCAAATCAAACATAAATTTTGTGTGTTGAATATTGTCTAATACCACCCCTATTGTTTTTGACTTTGACTAACTTTACTATTACTATTAGCATCCACTAAATCCAATTTTACCTTTCATCCCGCTCCCTTTCTTCTTCTTCTTATTCTTCTTCCTTTCAATAGCGGTAATCAAGCTGGCTCAAACCTTAACCAATGGCAGGTGGTGGCGATAGCCTCCTCCACCTCCTAACCCTCTCTATCTCTCGGTGTACCCTATACCTCCATCCAAGTTTGCATATGTTCAAAGCCAGATCCGCTCATATCTGCATCTACTACTTCCCATTCGTCCATATCTGTGTTTGCTACTCCTACTCTGCCATGTCTGCGTCTTTACTTCCCCTCTATCCAGATTTGCATATATTACTTGGGGTAATCATATCCTATTTCCTTCCATTTTCACCAAGCAGCTTTTTGCAGCAATGTTAATATCTACTTTAATTATCGTTTATTGTCAAAATTTTGTTATAAATGGTCATACTTATTTTTGGAAAAGGACAAATTTTCCCATCTATTTTCCATAATGCAACTCTTAGTGGCATGTCTATGGTTATTCCATTGTCTAGGCTCAGCACCGACAACATAAGAATATAGCAAAAAGCATTGTAACAAATAAAGAAAATCTAAGGGAGTAGCGATAAAGCTAATTATTTATAACAGGGTTAACCTAAAATAAAAACAAAGCTAGACTACCGGAGGGAGAAACCTTGAGTTTATAGATCGAAGGAGTAAGAGAAGAAACTTGGGAAACAGAGTTATTGGAGGAAACGTCGGGGGGTTGTAGATCAACAGTTAAACCAATAATGTAATAGCATCCATAAGCTCTCCGCCTTCTAACATGGAGTCCAATTTAGATGAATAGTGTTGGAAGCTTTTAATCAAGTTATTGCTCAATATGGAGTCCAAAGGAAAGAGATCAAGAGAGTTGAGGCATCAAACATTTGATTTTTTTTTTGTCAATGTGGAGTTGTAGTCTGTAGAGCCCTATTCATACAAATATTCGATTAATGAAATTGTATTCTGTAGAGCCCTATTTATGCAAATATTAAATTAATGGAGTTGTAGTCTGTAGAGCCCTAGTCATGCAAATATTCGATTAGTGGAGTTGCAACGACTAATGGAGTTTAGGCATTTCTCTCTCTCCTATTTTGTGCATGTGGAATATCTCTAACAAGAAACATTTCATGTTCTTCTCAGTTCGAACTAGATAATTACCGGCTACAAACCGAAGAAGATGAAGAAGAGGAGTTTCACATTTGACTTAAGGGCAAAATGGACATTTCAGCCCTTCCATCAATATTTTAACAGCAATGATAAATTTTCGAAATGGTAAGGGTAGCATTGGACAATAATCAAACAATAGGGGTATACTTAATCAATTAGCTAAACCATAAGGGTAGTTTAAGAAAATTGTCATAGTCCTAATGCATGACTGCAATTTAAATACGAGTGCACAGTGGGTTAGGGTTGAGATATTGTCAAAAATTGAAAGGCCCAATGTGAAGCCCGAGTATGGAGTAGTGTAAAATATCAATTCATGCCAATCCGAGTTGCACCCCTATTTGTCTATAAGTGGAAATGAATTAAGCCTTTTATTCAAGCTCATCTCATGGAAAAAAAAAGCTCAATTCATTTCGATATAAGTTGAGTTTTGAGTCAAATTCAAGCCCAATATATAGGCTCATTTTTAATCAATCTGAGATATATAATTTTTATACGTGTAATAATAATTAGTTTTTATAATTCTTATATTCTTATATGTAAAATAAAAAATAATAATTTTATAGGAATATTGGCTCATATTCGAGGTTGAGATTACGATCTTTTGAGTTGAGTCGAACTTGAGCTCAACTCTCTAACCAAACTCGAGTTCGAGCCTCGTGGTTTTCTGGCAAGCTGAACTAAAATAACCAAATATTTGGCTTAGCTTAGCTTAAACCCACCTCTAATTGTTAAAAATTCCTTATACAAGGAATACATCCAAATTCATTTAAAGGGAATGGTTAGAAAAAAAAAAGTCTATAAATTATCTTATAATCTCTTTTTTTTTGCGAGTATTATCTTACAATCATTTAAACCTCCCATCGATTTGATAATCACTTATACCTCACGAAGATTGTAAGAACCTTGTTTCAAATGCTTGAGAAGAGGATATCATGGTAATTAATGACAACAAGTACAATAATGATGAAATGTAAATAAGTATAAGTTGTTGAAGTGGAATAAACAAGTTATATGGAAGATTCAAGATAGAATAAATGTTATTTAATTGGAGTTAAGTTTAGAGGAGGAAAACGTGGGAAATTCTTTTAGTCAAAACAAATGTTCAAGAGTTAGAAATTTTTTTAGATGAATGATTAAAAATGAAAGAGGTTTTATGGATTCTAAAGTCAATACAAAACTTGTTGAAATTGAGGGATATGAATACTATATCATTTAATGTAGTCACAAAGAAAAGATGAATAAAAAATATAATTTCCTTATTCAAATATGATCAAGAATAGTGAGTTTTATGTCGAAATCAAAACAAGGAGTTGATATATTAAATCATTTTAAATAAATGTACAAAACCCCCAATTCAGTGTTGGATTATGAAGTTTTTGATTTATTAGAAATGGTGATTTGGGATTGACTTTTTATTTATTGAAAATGGTGATTGTGGATATGGGAAAAAGTGAGAGATGAAATAAAATATGCACTATTTTCAAATGCATCCCTAAATGGCTTATAAACCATATGGTTTTCCTAACTTTGTGGGCATGGACATTTGTAATGTTCTTAAGTACTTATTTGACAATAGTGTTGGAAATATAACATATATGTACTTATTTAAAGCTATTTTGTATGTTTGTATTGTTTATTTGATTAATAAAAATATGCATTTTGAGGCATTCTTATTATTATTTGCATGTATTATTTGTTATCTAGTCCATATGTCACGTTGTAAGGCATTCGGATGATGATATCTTTATATCCCAACTAAATGGTAGATTTTTATAGTTCGTTTTATGATTGTTATATGGGTAGTTAATACTGATATTTTGATTATCAACAGTAAGATTATGGGTTGTCATGTAGATATGTATTTTATGTCCACACTAATACTGATCCAATTGAATTTGGTCAATCACATGTTTTGTTAGTCATTGTTAGTGAATAAAATCACTTAGATACCTTGCCCTTGGACATTAGAGATCATTTGAGTTGTAGTATCATGTTCAATTATTTTGATAAACTACGTGTATAATTACAATTGGATCACAATTAATTGCTTTGTATGTTAAGAGATTGTAAAGTGATATTAAAATTTTAGATAATGGCAATAAGGATATGCATTTCCAAATTATATGAAATTGACATAACCAATAAATTTAATGCATTAAGACTATATTAAATGAATCATATAAGTCTATGGATAACACCGGGTAAATGTGAAAGGAATTATAATCAAATCAGGATTCCTAATGGAGGAATCCCAATTGCACAATTACTATTGTATTTTGTCCATAAATCAGCATTTGATGAATATAAAAAGTATCAAACTGTAACTATAACATATAATAGTTTACATGGTTATCTTATAATATTTTGATTGATTATATAATCTCTATTATATCCAGGTTATTATATGTTAATATTGTTACTGAAAGTGTTTTTAAGCAAATTTTATGTCTTTAAGGGGTTTTTTAAGTATAAGTATAATTCTTAGATAGTTGCGCATATGTGGTTTTATGATCACAATAGGACAGTGTTATGTGAAATGGCAAAATTAAAATCAACTTCGAATAGGATGCCACAAGTAATAAGTTATATACACTTCAGAGTAATTGCAAAATAATTATTGAACCTAATTACAATATTAATTAAATATTTTAATCTTAACTATACACATAATATAAATTGAATAAAAAATTTATATCTAGTGGTGGAGATGAGCTTCTATATTATTCTATTATATCTTAATTTTTAAGTCTTAAAACCCTATAGGAATCTCACACCATCCAATTTACCTATATCTCAATATAATATATAAAGAGCATTACAATAATAGTTAATCCAAACCACAAAGTGAGAAAATTGAACCTTATAGAGTATACAACAACTATTACTTTCAATGCCCAATAAATATATTTTATAAAACATAAAAGTTACAAATTTATGGATAGTGTTATTTATATCAAATAACAACTTGGGTTAACTTGATTATTGCAATCAATATATTTAATATGAAATTATGAAATAAAATAAAAACTGCAATAGTCAAATTCCCATTAAGATCTTGGGTTAACTATGAAATTGATTCATTTATAAGTTTACTATTATTTCACTTTCAAATGGGCTTTTAATAAAAGAAAATAAAAAATACATTTGTAACCTTAACTATGAACTGCAAAAATCTTAAAATGGATTCACATTATACCCTATTATCTTTTATAATTAAATTTACTAAATTATTGCAAATATTTTGATGAATATGAATTTTATATAACATTGAAATACAAAAGCGAGTTATTGTCATCTAGACTATATTTTAACAAAATATTAGTCTCATATTAAATCATATATTTTATGAAAACTATTAAGTAAAAGCACTGATTGACAACAATAATGCCAAACATTAACAAGGCTTATGATATAATAAAATTTAATTTTTTTAAATATGTGATGTGGAAAATAGGTATTGGGGAGAAGTCAAAGAAATTTGTTGAATGAATAATATAGTATATTTTAAGAAAAACCCATTAAATTATCACAATTTGAAGTCTAAGTACCCAAAATAATTCCACCATAGGTTTGTAGCAATGAAACCATTTGTTCTTGTATCTCTTCATTTTGTTATTTGCAAATACTCTAGACCAATGGTGCAATTTTGGCA